TTTACCAAAACATATGTAATTTAATATCTCATACTCACGTTCTTCTTAACACTTATGGACCTCAATGGTCATTCAGTCTCGAATGAGTACATAAGTTTGTTGAATTGAACTCAAACGACTCAAAGGAAACAATTCTCAGACCAACTGCTTATGTTGACATTTTTAACATGACTAGAAAAGCAATTAAGTATTTCATCTTGTTGCTTTCTAGTTAATATTCACATGATAGGAGCTTCTATCACCCTTCTATACAATCAGCTCACTCTAACTCTATACTGCACCAGATTCCAGAGATGTTCCCTAATTTTCCCTCGACTGTGTGTTCATATATAAACTCATTCTATAGTCCTTTGTAAGTTGCCACCCTTTGTTTTGTTATCATTTCACAGCACGCGAGTTGTTTTGTTAAATAAAAATATTGTGCCCCAATAGGAACTTAGAAACAAGTAAATGTAAAAAATGATACGACTATTTGAATTAAGAACCTTCAGTGGACCCCAAAAAATCTTCAGTACTTGTCAATATATATACATCCAGAGGAAATATTACCTTTCCTTCCTCCATAGTGAGGAGCAGTGTCCCAAAACTCTTCACGCATCTGCAAGAGTTGAGACTTTGTTAACGGCTGAGGATGCTTCCACGGTTTTGGCTTCCTAATCTTCTTTAAAGTTCCTGTTAAACAGAAAGTTCTAAGTATTGCCTCTTAACTTCCAGTGCTTTTAAAACTCAAATTATCAAATTTCTTCAGCGCAAATTGAAAATAAAATTATAATCAAGGATATCCTAATCAAAAGAAAACTGTGAGAACTATATTCCATCAACTGAAGCACGGAATACAAGAAACTACTTGTTTCCTTTCCCCTATTTAATTTACCATTAATATTGTTTTGCGAACTAAAAAAGAAATACTTGTGGTATAACTAGCTTGAAAGGAAATTAGCAATGTTTCAAGATTATGCACAATGCCTTCAAGAACTGACATTCATAAGTTCCATAGGACCTAAGATCTCTTTCCAGCAGTCTATTCTTCACAATATGATGATGGGATACTAAGCTAAAATCCTATCTCATGCATATCATTTGTAGACCTTCCAGCTTGTGATTCGCAATAGCAATTGCAGATAACACAGATACATACAGGAATGACATGAACTTAAAGGGGAAGAGAGAAGATGCTGGATAACTAAAAAACCCATCTACTACTTTTCACTTTCGATCACATAAATGTCCTACATACAGACTGGAAAATTAATACCGACAATCACACGCGGATGTCAAAATCAGAAACAAAATAACACCAACAAAATTGTCCGAATCAAACAATTTCCTATACCATCTTCGGCATAAAAAACTAACTCCGGCTTGTCAATGTGCAGATTGATGGTCAAAAACACATTTAAAGGCCTAAATCCATCTCTAGAGCCGCAAGTTTCAGACGGTCGATTCCTCGGCTAAACCCAATGCCATTGCCTCATTATCTTCTTAACTCTATCTTACCAAAATGCAACTAATCATCTTCTTCAGCATTATTTGTCAATACAAAAAAGCATATGAATCTTGCGAAATCCAAACTATATCAAAAACTAATTCTTGAAACTAAAATAACAACAATTCATAAACCCCAATAACATGTTAATCAATTTTTTCAAGAAAATTAAAGAATTCAGCAGCCTGACTCAGCTGAGCTCAGCTAAGCTCAACCCATTTCCAGAAATCACAATTATTTTCAATTTCTTCAAAGATTTTTCAACTTTCCTTTTCCTGCGTTTTCCCAGCAGCCAAACAGAAGCCAAAGCACCGAAGCCAAAAGATAAACAAAAGCAACAGAGGCAGAGAGAATGATAGAGTACCCTCACCGTCTCCTTTGGTCTGTGACGATCCAGCACAACCCATTATACAGAGAAACAGTCAAAAATGGGAACCCAAGAGATTGAGAGCTCTGAGCAGAGGAGGAGAAGAAGAAGAAGAAGAAGAAGAAGCAAGCAAGCGAGCGAGCAGCTTTGAGCTTCGAGGTTCAGCTTCGTGAAGACGCAAAGTCAAAAGTGGAGCATCCCGGCCAACCCGACCCGATTCCGATTCCGGCGAGAGACCCTGCGGGTTTTCCGGTGAGAAATTGAGAGTTGTAATAGTAAAGAAGGGAGCTTTATTAGATTTTTTTTTAAGAACTTTTTATTTTTTAATGATTTAATTAATCATTCCTCAATTATATACGGATGACAGGAAACATCTTCTACTCTCTTTTTTTTTTTATAATATATATATATATTTTTTTTTTTTTCGTTATAGTGATTTTTATATTAATAATATAATTATATTATTCAATCAGAACATTATATTATATTACATGTAGAAAATTTAATTATATTATTTAATTAAAAAAATTATACATGATGAACTTATTTTAAACAAATTGCTTCTTTGTAGAAAGTGAAGGACTGAAGACCTAAGGTTAGTGAGAAATGAGTTGGCTGTTAGTCGCGTCTTCATTTTTCTCCCCTTTGGGAGTGGGCCAAGTATGGCAACTAGCCATTTGCTTTTGTGTTGGGTGTATGAAATGTTTAGTTACTCTCTAATCTTTAATGTAATATTCCAAGAAATCTTATTTTTATTTTAAAATTGAAGTAAAAATGGTAGAATCGGTACTTAACTTGTTTTCAAATAACGAAGTCGCATTTATGTCTTTACTCGTATGTCAATAACAAATAAACTTTAACGTTTCGAGAAACTTTAAACTCAGTTATTAAAAATGCATTAGAAGAAGACTCATAACTGCTCAAGTACTACCAAAATAGTACTAAAACACTATTAAGTATTCGACAAAGACACTACACACAATTTTTCAAATGACACATTGTCATTTAAAAGTTCTAAATAATACATTGCTTCTTGACATTTTTAAGTTCATTTATCTAATTTTTAAACCATTCCTAATAAATGTAGCTTACATGCCATAAAACTTTAAAGTTCGCCCGTGCCAAGTAATTGACTTGAAAGTATTCAGAGTGGTTTAGATCATCTCTAACGAAAGGGTCCAGCGGACCGAAATAGTCCTAAAACCGTCTCCAGCCAAAAAACTCGTGGGCCCCACTAGACAAAAAATGCCAAGGGGCCAACTGGCTGGCCCCACATCAAGCTGGAATTCAAAAAGCAACATTCAGCTAGTCATTATTTTTGAAATTTTTTTTTTATAGTTTTGTTTTTTTCAAAATTTGTTTAATAATAAGTCCAAAAAGTATGTTTGGTTGAATGTTTGGGTGTTCTTTTTATAAGCTTTAAAGCTTACTCAAATCCTCCCCAACAGCTGATGTGGGACTCTCCCACCCACTTCCCTTTATATATATACTCTAAATAAAACCTCTCACATTTGACTTGAAATATATAAGTTGTATTTTTTAAATTTTAGTTGTAGTTTTTAAATTTAAGTTGTTGTAGTTTTTAAATTTAAATAATAAATTATATTTGGCCCTATAGCTCTCGGTTGGAGATGGTTTTTAGTGACAGAGCTAAAACGAGCCCTATGACCCTTTGGCCCTCGGTTGGAGATAGAAAGAAATATGATCATGCACTGTTCATTAAAATATTAATTTCTTGAATGACCAAAGGGTTAAAACGAGCTCTTTGGCCAGCCTTCGGTTGGAGATGACCTTAATTTAGTCGAATTGAAGAGTTCATAGGGTTTCTCACCATTATTTTTCCTGGACAGAGATCATCTTCGGATTAGTCCCGTAGGGATCTTGCGGATCCATCGATCGCAACCACATGATATAAATCCAACAGTCAAAATTTATTTTTGTTTTAATTTGTTTCATGCAAAACAAGGTCGTCTCCTCTCTCTTTTTCTGCTGCTTCTTCTCCTTCTCCTTTGCATGTCTGCAAGAATTCTCTCTTCCCATGTCTGCAAATTCTTGCTCCACATACTCAAATTTCTGCAGCCCAATTGATCAAGTGGGGGAAGACAGAGAACCTTGGTTGCCGGAAAAATCCAAGTGAACTCATAATCTCAAACCACTCATAAAATTTCAAAACTTTGGAATTTTCATTGATTAATTGGCAACGAAACGAAGCATAACAGGGAAATGGACCGAATATTATAACTTTGGAGACGAGAGGGAACTAACATGACCGTGAAGGGAGGAACTTTCAAGGATGAAGAAGGAAAAAGTGGACGACGTGATTGCAAGAGAAGAAATTTTTTGGCTGTTGGATTTGTACCAATGATTATGATCAATGATCAATGGATCCGCAAGATCCCCACGGGACTGATCCGGAGAGGATCTCAATCCATTCTTCCCATATGCAATAATAATCTATAGGTCTACATATTCTTCCTATTGCTAATTCTTTCAATAATATAGATTTTGGTGGCTGTTTCCTTTCAATACGGACCATATGTCATCAACCTTTTTTATTTTTTATTTTCGGGCCCTCCTAAAGTTAGAAAATAATGGATAATTATCTAAAGCCAAATCTCTGTCCAAATCAAAGAAGCTTCTTTTGGAAGAGTCATCCACCTATATCCACCCATCTACTATAAATATATGATTATGACCATTAAATTTTTATTTTTGGAAATACTTGCATATTCAAGTTCACTATTAAGATAATGGTCTTGGTATTATGTGATCTTTCCAACAATATCAAGTTGATTTGTATGAATTTCCAACCACTTACTCCATTACAAATGTAAGTTAAGTCAGTTGGTCAAGGAAATATATATGCTCCCTACTTCCTTGTACTCGAGTTCAAATTTTCTCTCCGTAAATTATAGTAGTCTAAAAAACCGCGTTGTGCAAAACCACTAACCTTATTACGCAAGATGAACTCACCTACAACGTAAATGTAATTGTAGTATCTCATGGTGGTATTCTAAGTCAAAGATGTTGCTTGTCATGCGTTTTAACTTTCCCACGTGGTAATGCATGTCTAGCAAGGAATACCACCGCGATATATAGCATCCTTATGTCACGAAAGTCGTTGTCTACCATGCAAACAAAAGAAGAAACAAGAAAATATGCAAATCCACTTCTGCATTTCTCAGTTTCTCATTAACTTCCTTACAAAATGACAGCAGTGTATGGTGCCTGGACTAAACAGTCCTATGTTAGATAATACTTGAATCGTCAGCCATCTGTATTTTTTTTTTCCTCTTCAAAACAAATCTTTAGTAACAAACTTGCAGACTCATGGGATACACATTCAAAATCAGGCAAAAACTAGCTGAAATTTGCAGCGTGGCAAAGGGTGGTCATGGCGTCACAGTTTGATCAAAAGCGGTATGAACTATCAGCCCCATACCTGCTCCTCATATTGTAATTTTCAAACTTCGGATTGTCATAACCCGCTGTCTTCATGTCCACTGGTTTGGGTTCTGCCCCAACTGTGCCATAAACTACCTCTCCACTCTTCTCTCGCTGGCGATGCCTTGTTCTTTCTTTCTGGCTCTTAGACCTGCTATGAGAAGAAACCTCACCAGGATCCATAGAATTCTGCAGAGTTCTGTCGTTTTGAAGACCGGTGCTTGCTTGACAAAGAGGGATCTTTGAAACTAGTTGACTTCATTTTTGCTGGCTTCATATCTGAATACTTCTCACTTGCATTGGGGGTATAGGCCTGTCGAGTTTCAGACAGAGGAGCAGGAGCACTTTGTCTCTGAACTACTGGAGCCTCGGCTTCATCTTCAGGCATCCTAAGAGAATCTTTTAATGGTGTTAGGCCTTTCTGGGAGCCACCAGGCATAAAACGCGACGGAAGGAAGTGAACGAATATGCCAGCCAATGCTGCAAGTCCAAGCTTTGATAGATCACTGACAAGCTGTCCAAAAGATGGCCATCCCGGTTCCTCTTTCATGCTTTTCACAAGTAGCGTGGATTTCCCATTGCTTGGATGTTCTTTCATTTCACTCTTTGAAAGTGGCTGCTGCACCAGTTATGCATTAGATTAAGCAAAGAACACAACTTGCATAAATAAAATTTACCAATGTGGGAAACCTACACAGTTCCATTATAACGCATAAAGAAAGAAATGGATTGACTTCGCTAGCCCAAAGAAAAACTCTAATAATGTTAAAACCACAAAAGGGGCAGTAAAGCCCAAACTTTTTGCTTTCCGTGAGAAAACTTCAGACATTAATGAATACTTTGAACACAAAACGGATGAGAATAGTGAATATAAAAGCATGCACAAGCAGTAATGAAAATAATAAGGGCAGAAATAAATCTTTTCCTTAATAAAATGTTTCACCTGAGATGCATTTTCAACTGAGATGGGATGAAAAATGAATCAAATTTTGGAAAACAAAGGTTCAAGACTGGAACAGGGACGAGCATTTATTTTATATTTCACATTAGTAGATCATAAGAAGCACACCGTTCTCAATAAGAAAGAAGGTCCATATCCCTGCTGCAGTATGCATGTAGTATACCCTACCAAGACAGCACCAACAACCATAAGGATATCTGCAAAAGACCCACAAATGTCAGTCAGAACAATGCTGCACAATCTTAAGCAGAATTTGATGGCCTCATCATTGTGAAACATCATAAATACCATATATTTTAATGCAGCACATAACCAAGAATTAACCCAAGCATAAGAAAAACCTTCGAAGAGAAGGTTAATAATATAAAGCAACTAAATGGTATTTTGTAACACAATATATAATTGTAAAAAGGACGGAGCAAATCATTAACAGAATCTGTAACGTTTAAAGAAACTGGAGATGCTGTATATAAGGCAGAATGTCCACATAATCATTATACTGGAAGCAAAATGCAGTGGCCTCGATTTGGTGTCCAGTTGGTGCTTATTTCTCACATCTGCACATAATAGTTTGACAATAAAACCCTGCTATTTCTTTGGATCCTTCAAGACATAAACCTTCAATATGACATCTTTAGTAATAGACTTAATAAAACACATAGGCAACCCTTTGTCTGCAGAGCTAACTGATACAGATCATTTCAAATGTTCATATACAGTATGTGAAACCATACTTACATAAACTAAAAGGAGAATCAATTATAGTAACCTATGCAAACTGTAGGGGTAAAACATTATGTACATGAAGACTGACGAGTATGCTTGCTTAAACAACTAGAATAGTCAAGCTAATATAACAGCCACAACATCCGTTGTAGAGCTTTCATACCATCAACCATCGTAATTATGCCTAATGAAAGGAAACTGAACATAAACAGCATGGGATCAAACCTGTGGCAGAAATTGAACTGTACTGATAATCACAATCCTCCTGATTGAGAGAGATCTGCCGGAGAGCAGCATTTCCTCTATCAACAACTAGCAACGAACAAGTAGGCTGAACATATACGATATCGAAATCATTTGAGAACATGGCATCCTCACTGGGCCCATCTCTATAGCCTGCAACATTTGATTTCCCACCTGCAATGGTTGTTACTCCTGCAAACAGTTTGCATTAGAATTTCAGAAATTGAAATATGCTCCTCTCTACAAAGGGATTTGCAAAAATGGTTTTCAGATAAAACAAAAAAGTTAACAAAATTTTGAAATTTAACAGTTTACAGTCCCATGGACAAGTTACGTTTCTATACTCTAGTTTCGCTAATTCAACATAAATACATGCGTACATACATAAAGAAATTTGATATTTTCCCTCATATTTACTTTCACTTGTTGCCAGCTTTCACCTGTACAAGCTTCAAAATAACTATGAAAATGACATGTACATACCAGCATCTCCAATCTTTCGTATGGCGTGATTCAAGGTATCAGCACATACACATTCCCCTTATCATCAATGGTTACACCTTTGGGATGATTGAAACGAGCATCACTTGGCTTCCCATCAACATGTCCAGCATAACCCTGAAATGACCCAGCAACCAATCTTCCCCTACTATCTGCAGCAATGAAATGTTCAGAAATGAAAATTGGAAATCAAGGAATGTATTATGAAAAAGATAATAATTCATATAACACTGCAGCTCATCAATATTGATTATTGAATTCCACAGTTAACCTACACAACAGGACTGTGAGCACCATCTTGTTACTTTCTTTATAAGAAAATTATTAGCATCGAGTAATTGATATACAGAAATTTTATCTGACAAAAAAACGAGGAACACAAAACCTTTAAATGTCAAAAGATTTAAACAACAAATACAAATACTAAGTTAGGGAGAAGCCGGGAACAAATCTCAAGTAAGGTGAAACAGTATAAGTATTGTTGCATACATTGGGACAAGGGTGAAGCAATGCGCATAATGTTGCTATTAACGGAGTCCACAGCAAAGAGCTCCCCATCCTCTGAGATGCGGATTTTGTGAGGAATAACACCAATGTCATTTCCTTCCACAACAGTCTCAACTAAGTACCCATTCTCAAATTGAAGAACATTCTTTTCTGTAATAAAACAAAGTGACAAACCATATAATACTTGCAGAAAAATTATCAGAGTAAGCATAACGTTCACGAAAACCAAAACAAATAAACTGAAAAGGTCTTGAAATTACCTGATTGGGGTGTTTTGGAGGATATTTCCCCAGTCCACTTGAGAAGAGAAGACAAGTGCTTTATCAATGGCCCTGAGCAAACACAATTTAACTCAAAACAATATTACAAGTGAAGTAACAACAAGTATCTGAAATCCCCATTATGATCACAGAAACCCAACATACTATCATTACTAAATGAATGAGAGAGAAAGAGGGTTATTAGGGAATATCGGAACAAACAGATCCCAGTGGCAGAACCAAGAAAAATGAATAATTGGGTATCTAATTATGTACGCAAAGCAATATTCCAAAGTGGGTTTTTATTTTTTAACAATATGATAAAAATATTTCAAGCAAAATAAGAGAAGTAAATGAAGAAACAAAGCAAACCCAGTTGCCAAACAGATCAAACATACAATCTGAACCATCAGAGAAAGCTCGAGGAAGATGGTGACTGAAAGTTTACCTGCAGGAGCAGCATGAACTTGGAATCGGAGGGAGTAAGTGACTGTGAGTGTTAGGAGAGTGAGGAAGAGATGGGAATTTCTCATTGCACTGATTTACAAAACCCAAAAGGCAATTGCTTGGCTTTGAATTTTCAAGCACAAGAAAGCTTACGGAAAATCATGGCCTCTGAGGTGCAGAGGAAACTGGTTTTGGGGATTTTGAATTTTGGTTTAGCAAGTACGAGCGGGGGCTGTGCTTTTGCTGTGTACTTTTGAGAGTGAGAGTGGGAGCTGTGATCTGCATAGTGTACTGACAGACTGCTTTTCTTTCACTCCTTTTCTCTCTTGATTTGTTTTTTATATCTTTCCTTTTCTTATTTCCTTTTTCACTTTTGCCGCAAAGTGAATTTTTTTTTAGGAGGAAAAAGTATGACATGTTGCGAGCATTAACCCATTTAATTAAATGGAGATCCTTTCAGTGTAGATATTTGTTAATTGTGGTGATGAGTGGTGATATTTGTACTTGTAATGGTAATGATATTGATATATGAAGTGTCCATGAGCATCCATTAACCATCTCTATCAAGAACAAGCGAATTTATTCAGAAGACGTCCTATATACTGAATTTATGTACATATAATTTATAATAAAGATGCAAAGAAGATGCACAAATTTAACATTTGTTTTGATTAATGTTATTGTGTAAATTTGAAGTAAATTAGATTTAAGATTTTTCATTGGTATAGTGATTTTTTTTATTGGACTTTGTATTTATTTAGATGACAAGTTTTTCTTTCTTTCATGATTTGCTATAAATAAAAGCACTAATGTAGAAGAAATATTATCCCTAAACATTCTACAATTTCTATACGCTTATTTTCGCTCCAATCTCTCTTGACGCACCCTCTCTCTTCCTTTAGAATATTGGCTACAACATAATAAAAACTAGACACTTAGTATTACGGTCTAGTGATATTTTTCTTCACTTGTAAGAGCAGCTCCAGCATGTGCTAGAGCCCAAGGGACAGGCGAGTGAACAGGGCCAGAGAGCCCGAGCAATCAAGTCCAGCGTGTGCTGGCAAGGGAGCCCGAGCAGGCCCGAGCGAGAGGCTGGTGGAGAGTTGCCAGCCCGAGAGCCCGGAGTGGGTTTGACGCAAGGCTGACATTAGCCACGTTTTTTCTTTTATTTTGCCTTGGCGTCCGTTGGATCTCAACCCACAAACTTGCCGGAGTTTGCTCAGAGGACAAAACTGGGCAAGGTTTTAGAGAAATTGCAGGGGGTTAAACCTCTGGTTTCGAACTGGAAAAAACACCACAAATCTTGTCCCAAGCAACAATAAGACATAATGAAACAAGATTTGCATAGAGAACCTCACCTGGGTTCGAGTTTCAGATCTTGAAGCCCTCGGCTTCAATGGTGGTTTACACCGTGATGGTCCGATGACGCATGCAACGGTATAGCAATGATCCTTTAGTCCTAGAGATTAAGGTTGGTTTTGGAGTTTGATTTGTTTAATTTTCGAAGAGGAAAGTGGGTGAGAGCCCTCGGAGCTCGAGAGAGAGAGAGAGAGAGAGAGAGAGAGAGAGAGAGAGAGAGAGAGAGAGAGAGAGAGAGAGAGAGAGAGGAACTTCAAAGAAAAATGGAGAGAAGTGAGAAAGATGAGTGGAAAGAGAGGGAGTGACGTGAGGGAGTAGAGAGGTGCACGGGAAAGAGATGGAGTGACGAGGGAGTGGGAGGGAGTGCAAAAAATATTATTATTTTATTTACTTGTTGCCAGGGCTATTCAAGTGTAGGGGTGGAGATATCAAAGGTAATTACTGTTCATTAAGGGCAATTACTGTTCACTAGGTGGATTAAATAGTGGATAGTCGGGGGGGCCTTTCCCACTGTGAAACTGCTCTAAGTGAGAGGTCTTAGGTTCGATTCTCGCCAAAGACAAATTTGAATCACATTATTGCTAACCCATTGTGAGACTCAGCCCACCTCCTCCCCTTTAGTGTAGATAATATCGTTTGTTATAATAATAATAATAATAATAATAAACATGACATGCTAGCCTCACACATGTGAGGTTGTGTACATAATCGGCTCAAGTTTAAATTCGAAGACCATTTCGTCTAATCTCATCCAACATACATCTAACACCATCAAACATGAGGCTTGGATTGATCCATTTTAATTGGCTATAACTTATCTCATCCAGCCCACTAAACGATCAAAAACCTTGGCACAATCATGATTCTAACCCTAAATCGAGGCTCGACTAATCGAGGTTTTTGAGTTTTTCCAAATCTTACAATTCATACATGAACTTCAAATATAAGATTTCAAACATTGGAATTTATTTCTTAAACCGTAACACTTTCGAACTTTAGTCCCCACATCAAATTCCAAAATCTTGAACTTTGGAAGCCTTGAATCTAGACCATTATACAAAATTAGAAAGAAATATTGAAATATATATAAAGAAATGAAATCTGCAACATCCAAAATATAAAATAACAAAAACGACCAAAGTTTGCAAAATTGAAAATGTCGCCCATCGGCCCCATCCACTTTAATTTCGAAAGTGGAGTCAAATTAAAAATTTCAACCAAAAAGGGAGTCAATTAAAATTGACACATATCGTGTCCTATTCCACGTATTTATAAGTACACGTGTCAAATACCCATTCGCTTTGACCCCGTGGCCTTCGAGTCCGGCACTCACAGGCACGCCCCTTTATTTTCAACGCCGAAGCCCCTCAAGCCCATTTCTCATTTTTCAGCTCCTATCCAGATCCGAAATTTCTCCCTCGGATCGATTTTTCCCCCATCGGAGAAAACCCATTTCTAGGGTTTGGAGATCCCTAATCGTGGTTTGCGAGGTCAGTTTCCCAACCTCGAATCGATCTCAATTTCTTATTTATATTGTTTCGGAATTCTCAGATCTGTTATGATTTGTCCTCGATTTCGATCTCCGCGATCCACTTATGTATATATGAATGTATGTATTGATTCATATATGTATACTTATTGAAGAATGTATGTATGTATGTATGTATTTATGCATGGCATTATGTATGCATGTGATATGTGATGGATCGGAATTGTATATTTCTGTGAATCTAGATGCTATGCATGCGTGTGAAACTATGAATGTGTTTCGGTTTCTTAATTTCATAAGATTAAGCTGGATCGGAATGCCCCTTATAAAAAATGTCAAATTTTTGTACCAATTTAGTGTTTTCAATGCAAAAGATTTCGGCTTGGTGTTAAATGGGTTTTAAATGTTGTTCTTTTTTTTTTTTTGGATTAGGGTATTAGATTAGACGAAGCAAGATGGGAGGAGGATTTCGAGTTCTTCACTTGGTCAGACCGTTTCTGTCATTTCTGCCCGAAGTTCAGAGCGCTGACCGGAACGTGCCCTTTAGAGAGAAGGTGATATACACCGTTATTTCGCTGTTCATTTTCTTGGTGTGCAGCCAGCTCCCTCTGTATGGCATACACTCTACCACGGGGGCAGATCCCTTCTATTGGATGCGTGTTATCCTCGCTTCCAACCGTGGGACTGTCATGGAGCTTGGGATCACCCCAATTGTCACATCTGGGCTGGTGATGCAACTCCTTGCTGGGTCTAAGATTATTGAAGTTGACAACAATGTACGCGAAGATCGTGCTCTTTTGTAAGTATACCTTAGGCCTTTGCAATTTTTAAGTGGTTAATCTTTTTTGATGTGGTTGTTTGCGTAAACGGTCTCCAGTTCTTGATGATATATGAAGCGAAAAGTGTTTTTCAGAAAGAATTTTCAAAATACAGGCTTGAAAGCTCAAGACATTAAATTATGTTTTTGGTTCCGAAACTTCAATACATTTGTTTTCTGCTGCTTTTCAAAAACTGTATTTGAATACATTTTGGAAACTAATCCAAAGTAAAGTGCCACCTGTCTAGTAAATTATGCATGTCAATCGTGGTCACCTGTCTATAGTTACTTAATTTTTCTGGAAATCTCTGTTGCTGCGGTTTCAAATCTGCTGTTGTTTGTCTTAAGTTTTAGTATTCTCTTTTATTCGTAACTTGTATGCATGTCTTGCTATATGTATTGCATGTCCTGATTTATGTTGTTCTTCACAGAAATGGAGCACAGAAGTTATTGGGTATCCTGATAGCTATTGGTGAGGCAGTTGCGTATGTTCTCTCTGGCATGTATGGTAGTGTTGGCCAACTTGGAGTTGGAAATGCCATTTTAATTATCATTCAGCTCTGCTTTGCCGGTATCATTGTGATATGTTTGGATGAACTTCTTCAGAAGGGATATGGTCTAGGCTCTGGAATTTCACTGTTCATTGCCACCAATATCTGGTGAGTTTTTATCCTTTCTTCTGCCTTAATATGTCCAGAAGTGGGAATAGTTTATGAGTCGGCATGTTCAAATTTTTGGGGAAATTTTCTAATATGCTATTCCAAATTTTGAGTACTTAAAGGTTATATTATTCTTTTTCAGTGAAAACATTATCTGGAAAGCATTTAGCCCTACCACTATCAACAGTGGACGAGGAGCTGAATTTGAAGGTGCTGTTATTGCCCTGTTCCATCTTCTGATTACTCGAACAGATAAGGTTCGAGCTCTCCGGGAGGCCTTCTACCGGCAGAATCTACCGAACGTGACAAATCTGCTAGCCACAGTGTTGATATTCCTTATAGTAATTTATTTCCAAGGGTTCCGCGTGGTTCTGCCTGTGAGATCAAAGAATGCTCGTGGACAGCAGGGTTCCTATCCTATCAAGCTGTTCTATACCTCCAACATGCCCATCATTTTGCAGTCTGCACTTGTGTCCAACCTTTACTTCATCTCCCAGGTACAGGAGATTTTATGCTCGTATGGTCAGTTTGGGGACTATTTCTTCTACCACAATATTGTGACCAGTTTTTGCGTGTGTACAGTTGCTCTACAGGAGGTACAGCGGAAATTTCCTTGTGAATCTTTTGGGCAAATGGAAGGAATCTGAATATTCAGGAGGGCAATTCATTCCTGTTGGTGGTCTAGCATATTATATCACTGCACCTTCTAGGTACTTGGGAATATGTTCCTCTTGAAGATATTTTGTTTTATGGTTGATAAAGCTTGAGTTTTGTTGGTAAACCTGATGATTATGTGCTTCCTCTCTATTCCTGCTGATCCCCACTTCAATTGATATGCTGCGGTTATATTTTGCAGCTTGGCTGATATGGCAGCCAATCCCTTCCATGCACTGTTCTATCTCATATTTATGTTGTCTGCCTGTGCACTTTTCTCAAAAACATGGATTGAAGTTTCTGGATCATCTGCCAAAGATGTCGCCAAGCAGCTCA